TAATCACAAATAAGTTAATTTCATCACATGATAAAGCAGGTTTATAATTTTTCTAAAACAAAAGAAGTGGGAAACAGAAGGTATTATTAATAGAAACATCCTCTGAAGCAAAACTGTCTCTGCCTAGAACCCAAACTATATAGAAAGGGTAGAAATTACTCGGCCTCTTCCTAGCAGGTAAGGGTTCCCTTCCCTTCACCTGGCTGGCAGTTTGAATTGCAAGGAAAGATGAAACTCTGTGATTCATGTTGGCAAAAGATGATTGAGGACTAATTTTACCAATGTACTTTAGGTACCAGTTTGCAAAGCATGCTTTTAAGTACTCTGATAATTAATGGGTAAGCTGACAGGCACTTTTTCACTCTAATACCTTTATTTCTTAATTAAAACGACATGCAGATGTTAACATTTATTAATTATTTTACTAGTTCACAGCAATATAATTAACTGACTTTAAAAAGCTGAAAATGATACTGTCATCTTTCAGAAGTTGCAGCATTTGGTCTAAATGAAAATGTGAAGTAGGAAAAGGTGTCCTCATTTCACAATCTCTCCCCCCACATCTCTCCCCTGTGACTGCTTACAAAGTGGGCTGTAATAATTCTTCCCAATCCAGTGCATGTGCCCCTTTGCAATGTGACTTTGTCACCACTCCCATCAAGGGGTGGGGTCCTTTTCCCCACTAGGGATTGACTAAGGAGGAGGAGTGGTGGGAGCAGTTTGCTCCAGTGGGGAAGAGAATTTTATTGCATTGTTTAGAATTGCTAGCACAAGGTGAAAACAAAATAAAAAGCAATCAATTTTTCATTAGTTTTATTATTGCTTTTCAATTCTCTACAGAAAATGCACCCTCTTACTGTCTGCACCCAGGAGTTGTTCTCCCACTGCCAATCATTTCCCTGCTTGGTATGCCATTGTTCCCCATCCCTTGAATCTGAGCAGGCCTGGGACGTGCTTTGACCAGTAGAATGTGGTAAAAATGACACTTTGGGACTTCCAAGCCTAGACCTCAAGACATTTGCAAAATTTGCTCTAGTCCTCTTAGAACCTTGAGACCACCATGTGGGGAAGCTGAGCCTGGCCTCCTTGAAGATAGAAGAACACATGAAGAGAGAGGTCCAGCTGATAGCCAGCATTAGTTATCAGGCATGTGAGTGGGGCCATCTTATATCATTGACCCCAATCCAGCCATCAGATGGCTACAGCCACATGAGTGACTCCAGGCAAGACCGGCAGAAGAACCGTCCAGCTGAACCCAGCACAAATGGTGGACCCACATATTTCTGAGCAGTTCGAATGGTTTTTTAAAGTCACTAAATTGGGTTCTCATCCTAGCTCTTCCTTTTAGCAGTGAGACCATGAACAAATCACTTAACTTTTCTAAGTCTTTTCCTTTATCTGTAAAATGGGGATAATGATATAGAACTTTCTACATATGACTGTGGTAAGGACTGAATAGGATCATGTGTATGTGCCAGGGTGGAGGCACTAAGATGTGAAAGGTACCAGATACCAAAGTGAGTATGAACATATCCTACTGAAGGAATTCTCAAAGTAGACAGTTAAGAACTGGTTGAGGGCCAGGCGTGGTGGCTCATGCCTGTAATCCCAGCACTTTGGGAGGCCAAGGCAGGTGGATCACTTGAGGTCAGGAGTTCAAGATGAGCCTGGCCAACGTGGCAAAACCTCATCTCTACTAAAAATACAAAAATTAACCAGGCATGGTGGCACATGCCTGCAGTCCCAGCAACTCCGGAGGCTGAGGCAGGAGGATCACATGAACTGGGGAGGTGGAGGTTGTAGCGAGCTAAGATCGTGCCACTATACTCCAGCCTAGGTGACAGAGTGAGACTGTCTAAAAAAAAAAAAAAAAGAACAGGTTGAGGACTCTTGAACCCCTCAATTTCACCTCAAGGGAGTAAAGACAGAGAGAAGATTTTGTGAGGGGGTTTTCTTTGAAGAAAGCACTGTTGTAAGACTCCTTCTAAGAGGGGAGAGTGGGCTGGGTGCAGTGGGTCACACCTGTGATCCTAGCACTTTGGGAGGCTGAGGTGGGAGGATTGCTTGAGCCTAGGAGTTTGAGACCAGGCTGAGCAACATAACAACACCCTATCTCTACAAAAAAATAAAATAAAAATAATTAGCCAGGAATGGTGATGCATGCCTGTGGTCCCAGCTGCTAGGAGTCTGAGGTGGGAGGATTGCTTGAGCCTGAGAGTTGGAGGCTGCAGTGAGCTGTGATCACACCACTACACTCCAGACTGGGTGACAGAGTGAGACCCTGTCTCAAAAATACAAAAGTGGGGAGGCTGGAGAGTGCTGCCCTCTCTCTTCAAGCCTGTTTGAGAATGGGTCCTTCACCAAGCCTACTCAGAGAGCCTAAGATGTGCTCCTTGTAGTCCAGGAGCTCCTCAGATTCGTGCCTGAGAAAGTGAAACAACAAAGGGGAGGGCTGTCTTTGGGACACAAGGTCTAGAGAGCAATTTTATACCAGGGAACTGCTGCCTAGACCAGGGATCCCCAACCCGCAGGCCACTGACTGGTACTGGTCCATGGCCTGTTAGGAACCAGGCCACACAGCAGGAGGTGAGCAGTGGGTGAGCAAGCACTACTGCTTGAGCTCCGCCTCCTGTCAGATCAGTGACAGCATTAGATTCTCACAGAAGCGTGAATCCTTTTGTGAACTGCACATGCAGTGGATCTGCGTTGTACATTCCTTTTGAGAATCTAATGCCTGATGATCTGAAGTGGAAGTTTCATCCTGAAACCATATACCCTGCCCCATCCATGGAAAAATTGTCTTCTATGAAACCAGTCCCTGGTACCAAAAAGGTTGGGAACTGCTGGCCTAAAGGGTCCAGCAAAAGTGTTTGAGGGAATCTGTGAAAGAAAGTAAGGTTTAAACAGCTGCCAGCTCCAAAGAATCCAAATCCAGCCAGTTTGGAATAGAATCTATGAAGCAGGTACTATTACTATCATTTTACTGACTAGAAATGGAGGCTTAGAGAGGTTAAGTTGTTTGCCTAAGGTCATACAGTAAGTACCACAGACAGGATAAGAATCCAAGCTGATTCTTAACTATGCTATTCCAGATTACCTGGTAAACCATATGTGAAATAGACACCATCACCAAGCAAGACCAAGTGATTAAAAAAAAAAAAAGACATGAAAACCAAGCTATAGGCATGGCAGATTCTCTGTTATCCCAGGAAACAAACTGGATGTCCCATGCCTGCAGGCAAAGAATTGAAACAAGTAAATGAGAGCACTTTGGGACAACATCAACATACCATGCCAGTTGTAATGTACAACCCTTCCTCAGCAGTCTTCACTCAGCTCCCCCTGTAAAAAAATCCCAGCAGCCAGTGTGTAAAGCTGGCTGGGGCAGGAAGGTCCTTACAACCATCTAACTGATAGGGAGTCAATATTCTGCCAGCTGTAGGAAACAAGGAACCATGGAGGATGACCAGGAGCACGGACATTTCATTCATTAGCTCCCACAGCCACAGTGTGGGACCTACAAGTCAGTCAAGGACAAGGGAAAGGTTTGAGACTGAGAAAAAACAAGGATTAGCTCAAAACTCTAAAAGGAACATTGCTAATTCATAATCAATAACTTTTAATGAAATCTCTACTAAAAGTAACATTATGCCAACTTCATTTGTCAAATTAATATTCATAAGTATTTCATTCAATTTGTAAACAATCTGTAGGTTAGGCTTCCTTACTTGACAAGAATTCCAAGTGTGGGTGAGAAATTGCAGGAATTGAAAATTAAAGAAGTTGTTCATAGCCTGATCATTTCAAAGGCAAAATTGTTATTTGTTAAGTCTTCCAAAATACTTATAGAAGAAAAAATTACATTTAATATAGCATTTTTTTAAATTGTGCAGGGTGGGGGCCTCTAAAAGGATGAGTTCCTAGAATCTTTAAACAGTGTCAGCCTGAACAAGGAAAGAAAGGCCATTAAAGTCATCAATGAATCCAAGTTTTTCACACAATGCCTGAGATGTGGATGGTCTTCACTAAATCTTCACTACATTTACAGGCGACACTTTCTGTGACAGCACAAGATCTGAAGTCTGACTGCCCCAATTCAAATCCCCACTCCACACTTAGCTGTGTGTCCTGGGGCAAGTAGCTCAACCTTTTTGAGCCTCATTTTCCTTATATGTGAAGGATGGAGATTAATGAACCCACTTCAAAAGGTTGGGAGAACTGAGCTAACACAATCATCCCATAGTATCCATGCAGGATTGATTCCAGGACACTACCACATCCCCTACCACCCCCCATAAATACCAAAACCCATGGATGCTAAAGTCCCTGATATAAAGTTGTGCCATATATTTGCATATAAACTGTTCACATCCTCCTGTATACTTTGAATCATCTCTAGATTACTTATAATACCTAATACAATGCTATGTAAATAGTTGTTATACTGGACCAAGCACAGTGACTCATGCCAGTAATCCCAGCAGTTTGGGAGGTCAAGGCAGAAGGATCACTTGAGCCCAGGGGTTAAAGACCAGCTTAGGCAATATAGTGAGACCCCATCTCTACAGAAACAATAATGATTATTATCTGGTCATGGTGGCATGCAACTGTAGTTCCACCTACTCAAGAGGCTGAGGTGGGAGGATTACTGAAGCCTGGGAAGTCAAGGCTTCACTAAGCCATGATCACACCAGTGCACTCCAGTCTGGGTGACAGAACAAGATCCTGACTCAAAACAACAACAACAACAAACCAACAAAAATTGTTGTTATTATACTATGATACTATATTGTTTAGGGAATAATGACAAGAAAAAACGTCTGTATGTGTTCGGTACAGATGCAACCATCCATTTTTGTTTTTAAATATTTTCAATCCTCAGTGGGTTGAATCCATAGATGTGAAATCCATGGACACAGAGGGGTGACTGTACACATAAGCACTTATAACTGTTCCTGGCACACAGCAAATGTTGAATAAATGTTAGTTGTTCACAGAAACTTGAATCTGCCAGGAGAACCCCACCCCACGGCCTTACTGTGTAATCATTTTTACGTCTTTCCAAGGTGAGTGTGTGCAAAAGTGGAGATGCTTCTTCAACAAGTTTCCTCCTGCACAAGGTCAGGGCATGTCTGCCATACACAAGCCAAGCAGGAGTTCAGGGTCAGGGGCCAGACAGGAGCTGAGCAGAGAGCTATTAATAGAAATATAGGGCACAGGCATTATGTTCAGAATGGCACCCCTTACTCCATGTTGGTTCTAAAAATCATTTTCCAGCACCCCTGTGGTGGATTATTTATGCGTATGGTGATGAAAAGGAGAATTTTTACAAAGCTATGTAATGAATGAATCCTTAACAAACTGAGTGGTTGATCTGCAGCAAATGGATTCGTTCTACAGAGGTACGAAGTATTTGAATGCAAATTCTCTTTTTTATAGACCCATAGAGGATCAAGATAACTGTCTATAAATATCTATTTGGCTGAGGGTAGAGGGAGAAGGAGGGAGGAAGGGAGGGAGACATAAAGCCAAAGAATTTGTAGTATCAACTCACTTGTATAAAAAAAAAAAAGAAAGAAAAACCCAAATTCCTCTCTTGTTTACACCACATGTGTAAATGCACAGAAGACTGAAGGGTGCATGTCAAACTGTTTGCAGTGCTAATTCTCACTGGGGAGCAGAGCAGATTTTCCACAGCGGGCTGTAGCAGGAGCACAATAGGAAGCAGAGGGCACTAACAGCCTGAAGCGATGCCCACAATCTAAAGGGAATGAAATTTGGTGAACCAGCCGGGTCCCAGAACCTTGAGCTGAACTCACAACATGGCCAGATCACACCAGAGATCTCCCGATGAGACTGGGTTGTGAGAGTGAGCATTGAGGAATTCTTGCCAGGGAAGAAGAAACCCCATCTGCATCTTTCAAGAGAGGTAGCATCACCAGGCAAGGATGGCAGAAAGCAACCTGGATATTATAGATATATCTAAGGGACATATAATACTCCTAATATCACAGGGGGATATTTAAGGGAGATATATTATTCCTAACATCACAGTTGGTGTACACCCTGTGATATTATTCATAATATCTGAGGGAGATATATTACTCCTAAGATCATAGTGAATGTACATCCTGTTATATTATTCCTAATATCTAAGGGAGAAACTACTGCTAATATCACAGTGGGTGTACACCCTTTGATATTATTCATAATATCTAAGGGAGGTGATATATTACTCCTAATATCACAGGGACTGTACACCCTGTGATATTATTCATAATATCTAAAGGAGATGATATATTACTCCTAATATCACAGTAGGTGTTAACCCTGTGATATTATTGGTAATATCTCAGGGAGATAGATTACTCCTAATATCACAGGGGGTGTACACCCTATGATATTATTTGTAATATCTAAGGGAGATATATGACTTCTAATACCACTGGGGGTGTTCTCCATGTGTCTTCACCCCCTGTGATATTATTCACAATATCTAAGGGAGATATATTACTCTTAATATATGTACACAGAGAGAGTATACTCCGTGTGATATTAGTAGTATATCTCTCTCAGATATTACAAATAATACAACAGTGTGTGTACACAGAAGGAGAACACCCCCTGTGATATTAGAAGTCATATATCTCCTTTATGACTCCTAACATCACAGGGTGTGTACACCCTGTGTGTGTAATCCCTGTGATTTTATTCGTAATATTTATGGGAGATATATGACTCCTAATATCACATGGGGTGTACTCCCTCTGTGTACACCCACTGTTGTATTATTCGTAATATCTAAGGGAGATATACTACTCCTAATATCAAATTCCTAAAATATCCAGTGTGTACACACTGTGATATTAATGAAATAACATAGCTGTGATATTTCTACAATACCTAATGTTTACACACTGTGATATTAATAATATTGCTTTGATATTTCTGTATAATCAAGGTGTTACACCCAATGTTAATACACTGTGATATTAATGAAATATCATCCCTCTGATATTTCTATAATATTCGGTGACTACATACACCACTGATATTAATGAAATATCATTGCTCTGATATTTCTATTATATCCAGTGTTTACACATTTTGATGATCTTAATGAAATATCATCACTTTGATAGGTCTATAATGTCCAGTGTTTACACACAGTGTTTGCCCACTGTGACATTAAAGAAACACCATCACTCTGTTATTTCTATAATATCCCGTGTTTACACACTGTGATATTACTGAAATAACTTCGCTCTGATATTTCTATAATATCCAGTGCTTACACACAGTTTACACACTGTGATATTAATGAAATATTATCGCTCTGATATTCTTTAATATTTAGTGTTTATACAGTGATATTAATGTAATATCTTCGCTCTGATATTTCCTTTTTTTTTTTTTTTTTTGAGACAGAGTCTCGCTCTGCTGCCCAGGCTGGAGTGCAGTGGCCGGATCTTGGCTCACTGCAAGCTCCGCCTCCCGGGTTCACGCCATTCTCCTGCCTCAGCCTCCCGAGTAGCTGGGACTACAGGCGCCCGCCACCACGCCCGGCTAATTTTTTGTATTTTTAGTAGAGACGGGGTTTCACCGTGTTAGCCAGGATGGTCTCGATCTCCTGACCTCGTGATCCGCCCGTCTCAGCCTCCCAAAGTGCTGGGATTACAGGCTTGAGCCACCGCACCCGGCCCGCTCCGATATTTCTGTAATATCCAGTGTTTGCACAGTTTTTACACACTGTGATAATAATGAAATAGCATCTCTCTGATATTTCCATACTATTCAGTATTTACACACTGTGATATTAGTGAAATACCATCACACCTATTTTCTATAAAATCTAGTGGTTACACACACTGTTTACCCACTGTGATATTAACGTAATATCATCGCTCTGACATTTCTGTAATATCCTGTGTTTCGGCTGGGTGCGGTGGCTCACGCCTGTAATCCCAGCACTTTGTAAGGCTGAGGCAGGCGGATCACGAGGTCAGGAGATCGAGACCATCCTGGCTAACACGGTGAAACCCCGTCTCTACTAAAAATACAAAAAATTAGCCGGGCGTGGTGGCGGGCGCCTGTAGTCCCAGCTACTCGGGAGGCTGGGGCAGGAGAATGGCGTGAACCCGGGAGGCAGAGCTTGCAGTGAGCCGGGATTGCATCACTGCACTCCAGCCTGGGCGACAGAGCGAGACTCCGTCTCAAAAAAAAAAAAAAAGAAAAATCCTGTATTTACACATAGTACATGTACACTGTGATATTAATGAAATATCATCACTCTGATATTTCTATATCTACAGTAGTCACACTGTGACATTAAAGAAATGTCATCCCTCTGATATTCTATGATATCCTGTGTTTACACACTGTGATATCAATGACATATAATCGATCTGATCTTTTTATATTATCCAGTGGTTACACACAGTGTTTACACACTGTGAAATTAATGAAATATTATCATTCTGATATTTCTTTAATAAGCAGTGTTTACATGCAGTCATATTAATAAAATATCATGGTTCTGATATTTCTATAATATCCGGTATTTGTAATTGTAAATGTAAACACTGTGATAATAATGAAACATCATCACTCTGATATTTCCATAGTACAGTGTTTACACACCATGATATTAATGAAATATCATCGCTCTCATAGTTCTATAATATCCAGTGTTTACATATTGTGGTATTAGTGAAATATCATCGCTCTGGTATTTCTATAATATTCAGTATTACATACTGTATTTCTGATATTTCTATAATATTCAGTATTTACATCCTCCGATATTAATGAAACGTCATCGCTCTGATGTATCTGTAACATTTAGTGTGTGCGTACCGTCTGTGATATTAAGAAAATATCATCACTCTCATTTGTCTGTAACATCCAGTGTGTGTGTACACACTGTGATATTAAGGAAACATCATCACTCTGATATTTCTATAATATCTAGTGTGTACACACTGTGATTTTAATGAAATATCGTATTAATGAAATAGAATATGTCTGCTATTTCTATAATATCCAGTGTGTTTGTACACGCTGTGTTATTAAGGAAACATCATCACTCTGATATGTCTGTTCATCCAATGTGTGAATACACACTGTGATATTAAGGAAATACCATTGCTCTGATATTTCTATAACATCCAGTGCATACACACTGTGATGTAAATGAAATATCATCACCTGATATTTCTATAATATCCAGTGTGTACACACTGTGATATTAATGAAATATCATGGCTCTGATATTTGTAATAATGTCCCAGGGTGTAAACACAGGGTGTACAACTAATGTAATATTACAAGTAGTATCTTCCTTGGATACTACGAATAATGTCCCTGGGTGTATACACCCACTGTGATATTACGAGTAGTATCACCATGGGATACTATGAATAATGTCCCAGAGTGTACACACAGGGTGTACACACACTGTGATACTATGAGGAGTATCTCCCTTGAATACTACGAATAATGTCCTAGAATGTACAAACAGGGTGTACACCCACTGTGATATTACAAGTAGTATCTCCCTGGGATACTACAAATAACGTCCCAGGGTGTACACACAAGGTGTACACCCCGTCATATTATGAGTAGTGTCACCTTTAAATGCTACAAACAATGTGCCAGGGTGTACACACAGGGTTGTACACACACCCCTGTGATATTAAGAGTAGTATCTCCCTTAGATATTGCTAATAATAACACAGGGTGTACTGCCATCGTGATATTGGCAGTAATATCTCCCTTAAACATTACAAATAATATTACAGGACGTACACACAGAGTGTACTCCCACTATGATATTAGGAACAACATCTTTTTAGAAATGATGAATAATATCACATGATGTACACTGACTGTGATATTAAATATAATATCTTTTATAGATTATGATGAATAATATCAGAGGGTGTATACCCACTCTTATATTAGGAGTAACATCTCCCCTATATATTACAAATATTATCACAGGGTGTACACACAGGGTGAATGCTTACTGTGATATCAGGAGAAATATTTTCCTTCAATATTACCAAAAAATCACATGGTGTACACCCATTGTGATATTAAAAGTAATGTCTCCCTTAGATATTACAAATAATATCACATGGTGTACACCTACTGTGATATTAAAAGTAATGTCTCCCTTAGATGTTGCAAATAATATCACAGGGTGTACACACAGGGTGTACATTAACTGTGATGTTAGGAGTAATATCTCCCTCAGATATTGCCTGTAATATCACAGGGTGTACACCTATTGTGATATTAGGAGTAATATATCACTTAGATATTACAAAAAATATCCGAGGGTATGCACCTACTGTGATATTAGGAGTAATAATATCTCTCTTAGATGTCATAAATAACATCATGGGGTGTACACCCACTGTAATATTAGGAGTAATATCTCCCTGAAATGTTATGAATAATATCATGTGGTGTACACTCACTGTGATATTAGGAGTAATATCTCCCTTAGATCTGACGAATAATATCACCGGGTTTACATAAAGGGTGTCTACCCACTGTGATATTAGGAGTAATATCTCTCTTAGATACTATAAACAATATCATGGGGTGTACACGCAGGGTATATTCCCACTTTGATATTCGGAATAATATCTTCTTTAGATATTACAAATAATGTCACAGGGTGTACACCATTGTGATATTAGAAGTAATATCTCATAGGTATTATGAACAATATCACCAGGTATACACCCATATGATATTAAAAGTCATATATCTCCCTTAGTGGATATACAAATAATATCATGGGATGTACACCCACTGTAATATTAGGAGTAATATCTTGCTTAGATATTACAAAAAATATCATGGGGTGTACATCCAATGTGATATTAGGAATAACATCTCCCCTAGATATTATGAATACTATCACTGGGGGTATACACCTACTGTGATGTTAGAACTAATATCTCCCTTAGATATTATGAATAATATCATGTGGTGTACACCCCCTGTGATATTAGGATTAATACCTCCTTTAGACATTCTGAATAATACCACAGAGTGTACACCCCTTGTGATATTAGGAGTAATATCTCCCTTTGATATTACTATTAATATCACGGGATGTACACAAAAAGTGTACACTCACTGTGATACTAGGAGGAATCTCTCCCTTAGGTATTACGAATAATATGATGTGTTGTACAGAGAGGTTGTACACCCACTGTGATATTGGGAATAATATCTCCCTTAGATATTATGAATAATATCATGGGATGTACACATAGGGTATACACCCACTGTGATATTAAGTGTAACATCTCTCTTAGATATTATGAATACGATCACAGGTTGTACACCCACTGTGATATTAGGAGTGATATTTCCCTTATTTATTACAAATACTATTACAGGGTGTACACCCACTGTGATATTAGGGGTAGTATCTCTCTTAGATATTACGAATACTATCACAGGGTGTACACCCACTGTGATATTAGGAGTAGTATCTCCCTTAGACATTACAAATGTTAATACAGGGTATACACCCACTGTGATATTAGGAGTAATATTTCCCTTAGATATTATGAAGAATATCGCAGGGGGTATACACACAGGGTGTTTCACCCCCCCTTAATTATTACTAATACTATCACAGGGTGTACACCCACTGTGATATTAAGAGTAATAGCTCCCTCAGATATTATGAATACTATCACAGTGTGTACACCCACTATGATATTAGAAGTAATGTCTCCCTTAGATATTACTTAGATATTATTACATAATATCTCCCTTAGATATTATGAAGAATATCACAGGGGTACACACACAGGGTGTATTACCTCCTGTTATATTAGGAATAATATCTCCTTTTAGATATTATGAATAATATCACAGTGTGTACACCCACTGTGATATTAGGGGTAATATCTTTTTTCAGATATTATGAATAATATCACAGGGTATACAGCCACTATGATATTAAGGGTAATATCTCCTCTCAGATATTATGAATGATATTACAGGGTGTACACCCACTGTGATATTAGGAGGAATTTCTGGCATTGTTTCCAGATTAACTGAGAACTACAAGGCCCTCTTTATTCTTCCCCAGTCATCTGCCAAATTGCCAGAGAAGCTGGAACATCTCCAATTGTTAGGAAATCTTGCAATTTTGGATATAATATTCTTTTGTTCTTTCAGCCTCCAGCATGGAGACAACCTTGCGTGTATGAACACAGGTGGGTCTGTTAGCTACTCACCCATCTTACCACTACCAATTACTACTTCAAAAGTCCTAATTCAGTGGTTGAGTGTCTTCTTTCTGACTTACGATTGTCACAGTCTTTGTCACTAAAAATATGTGCTTCTTCCAGCGCCTGCTGTGTCCCATGTCAAATGGCCACATCACCATCTCTTCGGGAAAGGTGTTCCATGAGGACCACTGGAGGACAATGAGGGAGATACAGACTCGAATGCATTTATTTGTCAAAGCTGAGGCTCTGCTGACCTTAGAGTTTCATGAAAGATGGAAGATACCTTTTGACAACTCATAGAAGACAAGAAGAATAGATGTTTCCTGGAGCAGTGGGTTGGATAAGGGATATTTTGCATAAATTTCCTCTGAGACCCATGATTATAAATTTGCTAAACCAAGTGACACACACTGGTCACAATGGAACTCCTCCCTTTTCTTTGTTCTCTATTTCTCACCAAGGCATGAGACTCCAGCTCCACCATACCTCTGTGACCTCTCCTCCTAATTTCCCCTGATGCTGCTCAGCTTTCATTACACCCTCCAGGTTGACTACAACGTGCTGGGCTGTCTAACCTCATGTCTCTCCTAATTCATGCTAACTGATGGCACCACATTGCAGTTTGGAGGCTGGGTGTCTTGGGAGAGTGGGGAGTGCAGCATCTTACTGTGTTCTATTGTCATTTTTGTTTGCAAACAATTTCAGTTCTCCCTGTAAGCCCTCTGGAAATTAACAGCATGGGAGATATGGGCTCATATACTGGGATTTCCGTTTGAGAAGAACTTCCATAGAAGATGTATCCAAACACACAAGAATGAAACAAAGCTTGCTGCTTTGGTGTTAGGGACTGAATTGTGTTCCCTTAAAATTCATGTGCTGGAAGTCCTAATCCCAAGTAACTCAGAATGTATCTGCATTTGGAGATAAGGTATTTAAAGAGGTAATTAAGTTAAAATGAGGCCATTAGGGTGGGCTGTAACCCAGTATGACTGATGTCCTTATAAGAAGGGGAGATTAGGACACAAACACACAGAGAAACCATGGGAGGCCACCTGCAAGCCAAGGAGAGGGGCCTCACGAGAAACCAAAGCTGCAAGAACTTTGATGCTGGACTTTCCGGCCTCCAGAACAGTAGAAAATCCATTTCTATAGTGAAGCCCCCTAGTCTGCGGTATTGTGTTACAGCAGCCCTAGCCGACTAAGCCACACAGTAACTTTTAATGTTGCAAAAGCCAGAGAGTGACTAGAAGCCTGATGTTCAAGATGATTCAGGGGAAATTACTCTCTGCACCACACTTTGTAAAAGGCCACAAGGCCCTGACCCAGCCTCTTTACTCACATAAATCCCCTCCTCTGTGCCCCTTCTTCCTCTGCCAGGAACTTAATGATGTTTGTTCTTACAGCCGCTGCTTTTATATCCTTCCTATGGCACCTAGTCTTCCAACCTGACACCTAAGCTTAATGTGATGTGAAAAGAGGAGGGACACACAGACTTGCATGTTCATCCTGAGGGGCAGGAATGCTGAAAGGACTAGAATGCCTGGGAATTTGGGTAGCCTAATTGATACTGTTGTAAAATATGTATTTTTAAAGGTGATGAGAACTCATCTAAAAGCTCGTTTCTCACTCCAAGTTCACAGTGCATTGTAGAATCTGAATGTTATAATAAAAAGGGACTGAATTAAGGTGAGAGAAGAGACAAGGGTGAAGGATGCGCAGAAAGGCAGAGCTGTTTGAAGCTGTTCATTGGTTCGACACACATTTGAGTCCCCACCATGTGCAGGAGCTACAGGTATGGTGGAGAGCAAAAGCTATACAGTAACTGCCTTTGGGGAGCTTCTGAGCACATAGGAGATACATACATACATTTGTACATACACATTGCAATATGCAATCACAAACTGTAGGAACTTCTATGAGGAGAAAGTGCCAACGGCTCTGAGAGTGAGCTCAGCATGATGTGCTCTGGTGTTGGGGGTAAGGAAGGCTTGCCTGAGCAGGACCTCTGAGTTTGTGCCACATGGAATCCATGGTCTCTCAGCTAACACTCGCCCCACTCTACTTCCTCCGTCAGGCCAGAAGCCTGAAGACTACATTTTCCAGACTCCTCTGCCAGCTGATTATGCTCACAGGAGGCACTGGCAGGATACTGAAAAGTAGGAGGCAGGGAGAAGCCCTGTGTTTTCTTGATTCTAGCAGTGACAGCAGCAATAGCAACAGCGGCAGTGACAGCAGTGACAAAAGCAATAATGGTGGTGGTGGTAGTAGTGCCAAGAGTAACTGAGAGCTCTTGAACTCCTCCTTGGGCAGTCAAGTTCCAGCAGCAGCAGCCTCAGCATCACAGCGGTTATGGGCTCTGGGTGACATGGTGGTCGCTTCTGTGCAGGGCGTCCTAAAATTACCAATCTTTGAGTTATTTTGCCTTCCTCTTTGTTCTCCCACCATTCCAAGACCTCTGTTACCAATTTCCTGAATTGAACTCCCTATTTTAAAAACATAGAGTAGTTTTGCTTCCCTGAATAAACAAAATATTCCTAAAATAGCTTCAGGAAACTGATTCAAAGATAGGATCTGGGATTGATTATCTGAGTTGGCATGCATGAGATGATGACCTCAATGCCAGTGGAAAATAAGATACCAGTAGTCCATGGGATGCCGTAGCAAATTGTTAGTTAAATTATCACTGCTGACTGCTTGAGATGAAGTACATATGGAAGGTAAGGCTTCCTTCTCCCTATGGAGACCAAGTGGTAGTTGCAACTATGTTGGAGGGAGCAATAAATATAAAGACTCTGAATGAACTGGCTGTTTCTAAATGCACTGGTGAGTTCACAGAAAGAAAACTACAAATTTGGGGCTTAAATATCTCGGCTGATGCCACAGTCCAAGAACCAAAAAGCTTTGATAACAGCACAAAAAGAACCTCTTATCTCTTAACAGTCAAAGAGCCAATTTAGCTAAAAAGACAGACCTGGAATCTGATCCTGTAGGTTGCAGAATTATAATTAACAGACCCACCCAGATCTCTTTTGTGACCTATGAGTGTATAATCAATCAACCAATCCAGTTACTGTTGTAGGTCTTGGGTATAAAGGTGAACAAGACCAACAGTGCTTCTACCCTCAGAGAAGTCCACACAAAGATCTGGAAGAAAGGTATCCAAGCAGAGGGAAGAGCAAATGCAAAGCACTGAAATGGAGTCAGCTTGGTGTGTGCGAGGGACAGAAGAAATGTCATCCTGGAATGCGGTGAATATGGAGGAGAGTAGAGGGAGGTAAGGCCAGGGAGACAGGCAGGAAGCAGGTCTAGCAAGGTCACTGCAGGCCATTGTGAATAGTTGTTTTATTCTGGTCTAATAAAAACCATTTGTAAGTGCTAAGCAGGAAGTGCAATGCAATACAATTCTGACACTAACCACCCAGAGTCAGCACTGACTCCAACAACACTGTCCCTATTTAGACACCAGCTGCAAGGTTGAGGTGTCTAAATAGACATCTTCAGACCACCCACACTTCTGACCAACTAGCTACAAATTCTAAGATTTTCACGGCCCCCTTGGTAATTGTTAGAATGAGTCACAGAATGTTAGAATGTGTCACAGAACTCCCGTGAACTAAAGTACACAGGAGAGTACTGGTAATTACAGTTTTATGATAAAGGATACAAATCAGAAGCAGGCAAACAAAGAGACACACAGGGCAAGATCCAGAAGGATCCCACACATAGAGTTCCTGTGCCTCTTTTCCCCACAGAATCAGGGCATGTCACCCTCCCAGCACCAACCAGGAAGCTCCACTAAACTTCCCTGTGAGTTTCTATTAGGATTTCCTTACCCAGGCATGTTTGAATGAATTAGGGGCCCACGTGATTAGACTCAATCTCCAGCTTCCCTGCCCTCTCTGGAGATTGGACCAATATCACATAGCTCAAAGTTCCAACCTTCTAATCCCATGGTTGGTCTTTCTGGCTCAGCCTACCCCCATCCTGACTCAACTCATTCGCAGAAGCTGTCTAGAGGCCTAGCATGAGTCACCTCATTAGCATAAACAATCAGCACCCACCATGGATAACAAAGACACTTTTATCACTTGGGAAATTCCAGTGGTATTAGAGGCACCACGCCAGGAACTACGACAAAGACCAGACAAATTATTATATAATTGCAGGAGAGTATCATAATCTGAGTTAAATTTTAGAAAGATCACTGCAGTTACTATATGGAGGGGCTGACAACAAGAGGCAAGAGTGGAGCTTACAGTGGCATTCTAACTGGACTGTTCCTAGGATGATACCTTGGCTGTCTTTGGGCTGCCTAGTCTCTCCTGCTCCATTTTCCAAATCAGGTCCCTAGCCTTCTCACTGATCCTATGAGCTACATAATGTCCTTGGAGTAAATATTTTCTACTAAGTTAACTAGAATTTGTTTCTGCTGTTTTCTACCAAGAACTCTAACTATTACATACTCTCTCTTTCCCTTTCTACCATGAGGCTGCCATAGTTTCTCTTCCACAAAATAGAATGTGGCTGACCCACAGTTCCTAAGTCACATGTTCCATCTCCAGACACCCACACTGGTTTTCAGTTCCGTTTCCAAATTCCTAGGGAAGAGAATTTGATCATTCCATTTTAGGTCATAGGTACTCTGTTAGTCCAATCAAGTGCGGCTAAGAAAGCTGGGTCATGTAGTACAAAATGGTTGCTAGGGCTTCTTGTGCCCAAAATTATTGTTACATAGAACAGATACCCCAAACGTTGCTTCCTACAAATAGATGGAATTTAGGCAGCCAAGGAGGAAAAAAAATGAATTTTAAGAAGGAAAACATGAGTTGATGATGCATAGAAGCTGGAATGGTTGTAGCATTTTCAAACAATAGGAAAGATTCTGGCCAAACCAGAGCAGAGGCATCTGATAGGAAGTGGAGGAGGTGTGGGCTTGACTGGGAAGTGTAAAGCCATTCTATGGAGGCCCTGAACATCCGGCAGAAAAGTTTCAGTGTGTGAAGAAAATTGGAAGCCACTGAACTTTCTGGGCTGGCAAAGATTCTGAAAGGTATTATCTAAACAGCAGTAGCGAGTTGAATTGGAGGGGCCATGAGTTTTGGAGTACATTGGAGGTGATGCCACAAAGAGTGAGAGACATTAAGATTTTTTAAAACTAAGATAAGATACAGTCATTTTCTGTGTGTGG